AATACACTGCTGAGGGGAGCAGCGGGGGAGACAGGAGAGGTCTGCTGGACCATGTGGGTCAGCTCCCTGGCCGGGGATCAAACTCGTGCTTCAGAGGCTGTGGATAGCTTCATATGCTGTGCTTTAACCCATTGCGCCACTAGGGAGGGCCCAGTTTTCCCTTTTCTTTCTTTTTTAAAAATAATTTTAAACTTTCAGATAATTTGCAATACAGGGAACTCGCTTAAATCCTTCATCTCTGTTTTCCCTGTATCATTGGAAAGTAAGTTGAGAGTGCTTCCCCTTACTACTCATGTGGCTCCTAAAAAGCAGATCCTTTTATACAGCTGCATAGAATTGCCACAGTACAGAATGTGAGCCTTTTAACGGTAATTTAATGTTCATATCTCTAGTATGTAGTCCACATTCAAATTATCCTACTTGTTCCAATAATTTCAGCTCTTTTTAACAAACAATTTTTTGGTCTTTATAGAATTTTATTTATTTATTTATTTTAAGATTTATTTATTTCTGCATACAGAACTGGAGTACAGGCCAGAGATTTAGGGGCAGTGAGAGGCTTCACCAGAGACAGAGTGGGGAGCAGAACAGGCAGATCGACGAAGTATACTGCTGAGGGGAGCAGCTGGTGGGCAGGAGAAGGACAGCCAGCCATGTGGATCACCTCCGGGGCAGGCGGGAATCGAACTCATGCGGAAGCGGCTTTAGATTCTCAGTGTTGTGCTTTAACCCGCTGCGGGTGGTCTTCTTTTTAACACAAGCAATTCATCACTTGGTTTGCACCATTCTCTTTTAAAATCTCAACCCTACAACCTGGACTGATGCTGCATTCATTGTACATGGCCCCTGAGATATGACCGCTTTAACTTGAGTCTCTGGCAGGAGAAAGGGGAGACAATAACTAGTTTAATGGTGATCACTTCTTTCAGCTTTGATGCTGCTTAATCGCTTCTTTCTGCTTCCAGTCCTTCTTTTGACTGTTAATATCCAGATAACATCTGGATCACTTGGCTCCCCAAAATTCATGTAACGGCAAAGTTACATAGATGTTTCATAGATTTTTTTTTTTTAATTTATTTGTTCATGCATACAAGAACTGGTATGTGGGGCGGGGGAGCGCTGAGTGGATTCACCAGAGTGTAGCGCAGAACAGGCAGATCTACTGAAATACACTGCTGAGGGGAGCAGCGGGGGAGACAGGAGAGGTCTGCTGGACCATGTGGGTCAGCTCCCTGGCCGGGGATCAAACTCGTGCTTCA